TTTGTACTTTATTCTCTCTGAAGTTGGAAGCCTTTTGAGGCCATGACCCAAATGATTTCAGACCTCTGACTGCTGTGTGGGGAGTGACCTACAGGGGGCAGAAGAGAGCAGTGAGGAAGCCACTGTAGCCAACAGGACAGGAGATAATGACGTCTCAGGCCAAGGTGGGATGGTGGTGATGGGTCTTAGAGACATTTAAGAGGAAGCTCCCCTTCCCCTCCCACCAGGCCCCCTGCTGTGCGCTGCACCACTGGGTGTCCACCAGCAGGGAGAGTGCCCCTCTTTGAGCCTTTGCACAGGCTGTTCCTTCTGCCTAGAATGCCCTTCCCTGCTCTGTCCATCAACAACTTTCTCTGTGTTCCTTTGTCTTCTGAATATCTTTTGTGGATACCCTTGTCACCTTGTTCCATGATTTTCTGTCCCTGTGACTATCTCCCTACCAGCCCGGGAGCCCCTGAAGGGACAGGACCAGTCTTGGTTATCTTTGCCCCCCAATGCTCAGCACTGGATCAGGAACATAAGACCTGCTCCCTAAATGTTTGAGAAATCCTACGCCAATCACAGCCCTTGGGACTAGTGCTGGGCTGAGCACACCATTCATCACCTCACAGAGGTCGGCCCTGTTTTTCTTACCCTATTTTGTAGATGAGGAATCTGAGGGCCAGAGGCTAGGAAACAGACCCAAGGCCACACATCTTGGCAGTGGTGCCGCGGGGTGGCTGTCTTCTATAGCGGCACGATGTCTCCCTGGCTGGCTCCCCTCCACTGCATTATCTGCCCCTCCGTAGAAAGCACTGGGCCCAGTAAATTTACTGCTCCTCAAACACTCCTAGTCTTTCCTCATTTGAAAGCGTCTCTTCCCGACCCCGAGCAGGGGCACTGGCCAGGTTCCCCCATGACCCAGCTCCGTCTCTCTTCCAGCTGAGCGCCCTCCCAGGGGAACTGGTCCTGCAGACCGTGTATGAACGAGCCCATGGAATCTGCGCGCTGCACCAGATGGTCCTGTGGGATGGCCAGGAGGTGGCCCTCAACGGGAGCCTCTCTGGCCCCTTCCACAAGCCCACTGGGAACCTCAGCCTGCAGGGTGAGTGTCCCAGAGGCCTCTGGCAGGGGTGGCACATTCACTCAGTGAACAGAGTGCCTGCTTATGCCAGGCGCTGTTCCAGGCACTGGGGACCCACTGGGAAATGGGATAGCCCAGGTCCCTGCCCTCAGGGACAGGCAGTGAGCAGGAACATGCATGTGAATAAGAATGTCAGAGAGAGAAGGGTTTGATTTGGGGGTGTGGGTCTCTTTCGGGGGCTGGTCTAGGAAGACCCAACTGAGGAGGTGACCCAGAAGCAGGGGTGGAGAAAAGGGACCACTGCAGTTACTCCACCTCCTCCTTAGTGGTGTGGATTCACTTTAATAAAGATACCCTTATTAAGTGACAAAAGTCATTTTAGAAAGACACAGCATTGAAAGCATGGTGGAGCTCCCATTTCAGGCAATGGTTCTTGAAGTGGAGGTCCATGTGGCTCCAACACAGGACAAGGATCCAGGCTGGCACCTGGGCCCTGGTGGGAGGAGGGACAGCTGGGGTGGTACTAAGGGCAGGGCTGGCCTCAGCCTGAGTGTGACTGTGTGAGCCCGTGGGCAGCTCCCCAACCCTCTGGGCCTCATCTCCTTTATCTGTATAAGACAGGACCATGATCCGCACAGAGCGGCACACTGACTGGCAGTGGGCATGGACAGACTCCACCTGGGTCCTTCACTGAGCCAGGGGCAGCCCTTGGGAGGGAACTTAAGCACGCTCAGGCCACATGTGCTCACCCTGCACCCTCAGGCTCTCTTTCCCGCCAGGGCCCTGATGCGTCCGTTATGCCCTCCCCAGTTTGGGGACAGCTCCAGCAACTGTCTTCAGCCTCAACTGTTTTCCCTCCTCATTCCCACCAGGAAGAAATGAGCCCTGTTCTCCCATTTCAAAACCAAAGCAACCCTCTCCCAGGGCATCCTCAGCCAGCCGTGTCCCTTCCTGTTCCCCAGCACAGGGGTGCCCTTGACAGAGCTGCGGGTGCCCAACCCCCAGTTCCTCTTCTCCCTAAATGTTCCTGGCCAGGCTGTCCTCACCCCACCCCTTCACACAGCTGCTGTGAGCACCACAGCATCTGCTGCTAACACCCTGGTGAGTTCAGGCCTGCCTCCGAGGGGCCCTGGGCTCTTCCTTCCCTCCTCCCCAGCGGCCTTATCCACATGGCTCCCCAAACCAGGCGCACTCTCCTGGTGCCCCCAGACCTCACTGGCTGCTCAGCTCCACAGATTTCCAATGCTGGGGTGCCCCAGCTCTGTGCTTGGGACCGTCTTTGTCTCCATCTCCACTCAGCCCCTTGGAGCTCATGGTGGCCCCCCCCAAAGGTGTCCACGTCCTAATCCTGTGAATACATTACCTTGCATGGCAAAAGGATTTTGCAAATGTGATTAAATTATGGGCTTTCTGAGGGGAAGATTATCCCAGATTATCCAGCTGAGTCCCATGTAATCACAAGGGCCCTTATAAGGGAAAGAGGGAGGCAGGAGCGTCAGAGCCGGGCAGAGCTGAAGATGTCCATGCCTGGCTCTGAAGACGGAGGACAGGACAGGAGACCGGGAACGTGTGCAGCCAGAAGCCACAAAAGGCAAGGGAATGGATTCTCCTCTCGAGCCTCCAGCCCTGTGAACAGGCTGACTTTCACCCCATAAGACCTAGTTTGGAATTCTGACTTGATGCTCTGTAAGAGAATAAATGTGTGCTGTGTTTAAGCTATGAAGTTTGTGGTGCTTTGTTACATCAGCAATAGGAAAGGATAGAGTGCTCTCGTCCAGGCTCATGACTTAAATGCTTGACAAGGCCCAGAGGTGCCACATCCAGCCCAAACATCGGGCTCAGATACTGAGCTGCCTACTGGACATCTCCTCCTGGATGCCTGAGTTCTGGACCTTCCTCCCCAGACCTTCTCTGCTCATCACCTCCCAATCCAGGGGATGGCAACTCCATCCTTCCAGGTGCCCATGCCAAAGCCCTCGGCCTCCCTTACCCTTCTTTCTGTCCTGTTCCCCTCACCAAGAACTCTAGTAAGTCCTGCTGGCGCCATCTTCAAATTGGAGCCCACCACTCAACTGTGACACCTCTCACTATGCCCACTGCCACCATCCTGGCCTGAGCTGCTGTCGCCTCTCATTTGCGGCATGGCTTCCTAACTGGGATCCCTGCCTCTGCCCCGGCCTCTGTGTTCCTCTTGACATAGCAGCAGAGGGGTCTTTACGTCAGGGATGTCACTGCTGTGGCTCCCATCTCCTTCAGAGGAAAGGCCACACCTTCAGAGTACCGACAAAGCCTCCATCATGCAGTGATCCCTGGCCCCCCACCTCTATGACATTGTCTCCTACTGACCTCCCTCCTCTGTTTGCTCCAAACATACTGGCCTCCTCATTGTTCCCTGAATACTGCAGACACATCTCCACCCCAGGGCCTTTGTACTGGCTGTTCCCACTGCCTGGGATACACCTTCCAGATACCACATGACCAGCTCCCTCACTGCCTTCAGGATTTGCTCAAGGTCACCTCATAAACGAGCCCTGCCCTGATCATTTGATAAACAGCCGCCACTAGTCCCAACCATCCCCAGCAAGCCCAGCTGTCCTCATCCTGCTTTTTGTTTTCCTTTCAACATACTATATAATTTACTTATTTATCAGGCTTATTGCTCTATCTCCTGCACTAAAACATAAACCCCACAATGGTGGGAAGGTTTTGTTTTATTTACTGTGGTTAAAACACTGTCCAGCACAAAGGGCATTCAATAAATATTAATTGAATAAATTCATAAAAGATATGACGGTAATGGTCAACGATTGTGGTAACACTCTACATGTACAGCGGATGGCAGGAGCCAGGCTCCATTATCATTAATTGGAGCAGCTCCAAGCTCCATTACCCGGGAGCAGCGCTCCGTGACTCTGGCAGGATAACAACTTCCCAAAAAACACCAAAGAGAAAAAAGGCGTCCACGCAGAGCCCCATCCCGGCGCGGAAAAGCAGCTCTCCCGGGCGAGGGGATCTGTCTGCGGTGCTTCCCCGTCCCTGACACCGGGTAACAGCTCCGCAAAGGCACCTGCCGCCCAGCTCGCCGCCAGCTCCAGGTCCCCCACGGCGGCAAGTAGGTGCCCGCTCGTGCCCGGAGGCCCCGGCCGCCGCGCCAGCTCCCCACGGAGCGTGGACCGCACTCCCGGGGCTCGCCTCGCCGTGGCCAGCCGGGACCCGAGGAGCGGGTCCGCTGAGGGCCCCGCGCCTCCGTCCCGCCGCCCCCCATTCCGCGGGCGCGCCTCGCCGGCCGGTCCCAACCTCACCGCCGCCAGCCCAGCCCGGTCCGACCGCGGCGCGCTCCGCCGGGACCCGCGCGCGCGAACAAGCAGCCCGCAGCCCGGCCCGGCCCGGCACGGAGGGGCTGAAGAGTGGGCAAAACCCGCTCTGCCCAGACCAGAGAACTGGCCGGCCGCGTCCCGGCCGCCCGCCCGCCCAGCGCCGGGGAGGCGGCGGCGGCGGCGAACCGTCCCGGGGGCGGCAGCGCCGGCAGGAGCGGCAATCCGGAGACCACGGGAGAGACTCGACGGCTCAGGGAGAGCGGAGCGGCCGCGGCGCGGCTCCAGCAGCTGCGGCAGCGGAGGCGGGCAGAGAGCGCTCCCATCCGCTTGGCCGGCCCTGCTCGGGCCGCCCCGGCTGCCCGGCTTCCCCTGACACCGCCGTTCCCCGGTCCCCTCCGCTACTCACCGTCGCTGCACCGCCGGCTCGTCGGCTTTCCGCGCCCACACCTGGGCCGCCCGTCTGCTCCTCCTGCGGCCGTCCCAATGCTCCAGCCACGTCCTGCGCCTCTCCGCACCGCGCCTGGTTTACGACACTCGCGGCTTTACGACACCACGTTCCTCAGACCTAGAGCCGCTCGCTCTACGGCGGGACCCTTGTTGCTAGGGAGAGGACGCTGCATCCCGCACGGAGGGAGGGAAACGTTCCCTCAGGTGTAGGGGATGGGGAGGGGACCGCTGGGAAACTGCAGTGAAAACAGTAAAACATACTGAGAAAGGGGCTGTGGGGTGAGGGGGAAGGGGATTAAAGGGCATTATGATTAGCACAAATAATGGAAGGGGGTCATGGGGAGGGCAGTACAGCACAGAGAAGACAAATAGTGACTCCACAGCATCTTACTACACTGATGGACAGTGACTGCAATGGGGGATGGGGAGATTGGGAATATGGGTGAATCTAGTGACCACCATGGTGCTCATGTGAATCCTTCATAACATTGAATATCAATGATACCTTAATAAAAAATAAAAATACATTACTGGAAAAAACTAAGGAAGACTTGAATAAATGAACAGAGGTGATGTATTCACGTATTCAAAGATTCAGTTGGAAGACGGTTCTTCCTATACCGGCTGTAGATTCAACATAATCCCCATCATAATCCCACAGGCACTCCTTCTGGGGTCTCCTGACTTCTTGAAAGGTCAATGGCAAGCCCCAACAACGGGCTACAGCCAACATTGCCTTTTTTTAAAAATTGATTTTTATTAAGGTATGATTGAGATACACTCTTAATGAAGGTTACATGAAAAAACAATGTGCTTACATTTACCCATATTATCAAGTCCCCACCCATACCCCAATGTAGTCACTGAGCATCAGCGTAGTAAGATGCCACAGATCCACTATGTGCCTTCTCTGCGCTACACTGTTCTCCCCATGATACCCCACACCATGTGTACTAAACATAATACCCCTCAATCCGCTTCTCCCTTGCTCCCCACCTGCCCTTCCACACCTGTCCCCTTTGGTAACCACTAGTTCCTTCTTGGAGTCTCCGATTCTGCTGCTACTTTGTTCCCTCAATTTTGCTTCATTGTTATACTTCGCAAATGAGGGAAATCATTTGGCATTTGTCTTTCTCCGCCTGCCTTATTTCACTGAGCATAATGTCCCCCAGCTTGATCCATGTTGTTCCAAATGGTAGGATTTGTTTCTTTCTTATGGCTGAATAGTATTCCACTGTGTATATGTACCACATCTTC